ACTCGCACGTGGGAGCCATTCTTCGTGCGCAAGTTTGGTGGAGCCCCCCACTTGGGACTTTTGATCGGCGTTTCTGAAATTTGGATTAGGACTTGGATTAAGAAAAATAAATACAAATTAAGATGCAATCGCCCCTTCAGGGATTCGGCTCTCACGGTGCGCCAAAGTTCGTGGTTAGCTCAGTTCGAATTGGCGGGGATCAGTAATGGTCTTATAAAACTGATGATCGTTGGGGATTAGAGCATGCTCGACGCCTTGATCAGATTGGACAATGATGCACTTTTTGGATTGTAATTTGTTGGTAACCTCATTTTCAGCGGATTATTTGGAATTATAATTTCCCAAAATACATAGGAGCCGTAGAGATTTTTTTTAATTATAATCTACATGTTTGACCGAGTAAATAAAATAAAATAAAAACTCGTTATTTTTCCACGTCCTTTCTTTTTTTGTCATTTTAATAAGAAGCGCGTGAATCATAAATCACCCTCTTCATTTTTTTATGGCAATCACCCCCTTCATTAAACACCTAAAAATTCAATCCACATCGAGTATAATTTACCCATGTTGGACTTCTTTTACACAACAAAATGAAAATTACAACTCTTGGGAAACAAACGCAGGATCGTTGTTTGGATCGTTGCTTGCGTGGGATCTTTGCCTGTGCAGGGGGTGCGTTAGCCCGTGGACCACCAAATCACAGATTCTGATCGAATCGTGAGGGGTTTATGATTCTGACTTCGTTTATCGAAGTGAGAACTTGAAACGATATCTTATCAAGGTAAGATAGTCGTTCTTCTTGAAATCAAGTCAAAACATGAATATCAAGGAGTTACCGGAAGCTCAAGAACTCTGCTCTGAAGTGCTCAAAATGATCAGCCCCTTCAAAAATGGCCTTCGGGGGTATTTATAACCCTTGGATGAACAGTGCTTCCGAGACAGTGTTTACTGTCTTCGAGGCCGAGACAGTAAACACTGTCTCGGGAATAGTAAATACTGTTCCCGCGAGACAGTAAATACTGTCTCGGGAACAGTAACTGTCTGGCAGTTTTCATTGTAACTGCCTTCCCACATTTTACAACTCCGTTATTTTGGCAGTTATCAATGTGATTCTCGCCCACGACAACGCTGTCTCGCGCGGAGAGACAGCAAACGCTGTCTCGCGCGGAGAGACAGCAAACGCTGTCTCGCGCGGAGAGACAGCAAACGCTGTCTCGCGCGGAGAGACAGCAAACGCTGTCTCGCGCGGAGAGACAGCAAACGCTGTCGCGCGCGGAGAGACAGCAAACGCTGTCGCGCGCTGAGAGACAGCAAACGCTGTCTCGCGCGGAGAGACAGTAAAGTCCGTCTCGCGTGCGAGACTGTAAAGACTGTCTTTTTTTCTTTGATTTTTCGATGATCTCCTCTTGAGCTGTATTTGGATATCTATTAGCATTTTTTAACGCCTACAGATACTCCCTCCAAAGTGTTCCAGACTTATTCTTTTATAGAGGAGTCTGGGACATTTTGGATAAGACAGGTCTTATTTGCAATCCTTTCAATACTTGATTGAGTAGATCGTGTAGAAAAATGGCTCCAGCCCTTGATCTCTTCATCCATTAGTCTATTCAGTTCTTTGTAGAATAGCTAATGCTTCTCCGGCCCTGTTTATATTCTATCTCCTGGTCTCTTGTTTGTTGGTAGAGATGAACCCGATGATGGAGAGGAAGAATTTTATATTCTATCTCCTGGTCTCTTGTTTGTTGGTAGAGATGAACCCGATGATGGAGAGGAAGAATTTTATATTCTATCTCCTGGTCTCTTGTTTGTTGGTAGAGATGAACCCGATGATGGAGAGGAAGAATTTTATATTCTATCTCCTGGTCTCTTGTTTGTTGGTAGAGATGAACCCGATGATGGAGAGGAAGAATTTTATATTCTATCTCCTGGTCTCTTGTTTGTTGGTAGAGATAAACCCGATGATGGAGAGGAAGAATTTTATATTCTATCTCCTGGTCTCTTGTTTGTTGGTAGAGATGAACCCGATGATGGAGAGGAAGAATTTTATATTCTATCTCCAGGTGCAAAGGAAACTCAAAGTGGGATCTCCACTTAGAGAATCTGGACGGGTTTGAATAATCCTAACTGTCATAAGGTTTGATTATTCAACTGAAAGTGGACCTCTCGTTCATGGAAGGAATCGAAAGGGGATTTTGGTTTTGGTCCTAACTGTAGTAAGGTTTGACCAAGTGGGAGTTTGAGACGATCCTAACTGTTTTAAAGGTTTGATCGTTCAATTTGTGGATCTCTCGTTCATAGAACGAATTGAGAGGGGATTTTGGCTTTGGTCCTAACCGTTTAAAGGTTTGACCAAATGGACAGTGAGACGATCCTAACTGTTTAAAGGTTTGATCGTTCAATTTGTGGACCTCTCGTTCATGGAACGAATCGAGAGGGGATTTTGGCTTTGGTCCTAACCGTTTAAAGGTTTGACCAAATGGACAGTGAAGACGATCCTAACTGTTTAAAGGTTTGATCGTTCAATTTGTGGACCTCTCGTTCATGGAACGAATCGAGAGGGGATTTTGGCTTTGGTCCTAACTGTTTAAAGGTTTGACCAAGATGGGAATTTGATACGATCCTAACTGTTTAAAGGTTTGATCGTTCAATTTGTGGACCTCTCGTTCATGGAACGAATCGAGAGGGGATTTTGGCTTTGGTCCTAACTGTTTAAGGTTTGACCAAAATGGGGATTTGAGACGATCCTAACTGTTTAAAGGTTTGATCGTTCAATTTGTGGACCTCTCGTTCATGGAACGAATCGAGAGGGGATTTTGGATTTGGTCCTAACTGTTTAAAGGTTTGACCAAGATGGGGATTTGAGACGATCCTAACTGTTTAAAGGTTTGATCGTTCAATTTGTGGACCTCTCGTTCATGGAACGAATCGAGAGGGGATTTTGGCTTTGGTCCTAACTGTTTAAAGGTTTGACCAAAGGAGGGTTTGAGAGGGAAGATTGATCCAACGAAGTGATCGAATCTCATCTCAGCAAAAGAATATTCGTAAATCACCGTGGGGATGTAGTGTTTAACACTTTGTTTGTAATGATCGGGTTATTCCTAAGAAAATTACATATAGCATTCTTTCGGGAACTTCCGTTACATGAACCATCCACCCCCAGCTTTTTCTTGCGAAACTGAGTTTATCATTATGTTTAGCTATATGATCGGGTTATCCTTAAAAGTACCATGCCTGGCATTCTCCAGGAACTTTCCGTGAAAGAAAGGAAATAGTTTAGACTCATATACCTGTTGGAGTATTAAGGAGCAGTTTATACTCGTATACTTTTCGGAGTGAGATGGAGAAGCAGTTTATACTCGTATACTCATCGGAGTCAGGGAAAACAGTTTATACTCGTGTACCCAATGGAGTTGATTTGGTCGTCTTTACTCGACCTCTTTCGTCGTTATGACGCCGGAGTCAATTAGGGCTTGGATCTTGTTTTTGAGTCCAAAGCAAATCTCGGTGGGATGAAGAACCCCTCTGTGGTACGCACAATAGTTTGGATCCGTAATCCTCTTAGCTCCATCCTGATCTTTAATAGGTGGTAGCTCGATTTTGTCATTAGCGAGGAGGTATTCCAATATGGCTGGAGCTTCATCATCTTCGAAAGAATACTCCTTTTGGAACCTCGGATCGAGAGTCGCGTTCACAGCGATTGTAGATGTCGTCGGTTGACCTCTCTCAACTTTCTTTCTTTTAAGAAAGTGTTCAGCTTGTTCGCCACGTAATTTCAACTCTTTCCAAGTTTTGGATGGCACGACCCCCAGAGCTTCCAGGACATCGATGGAGAGATTATTGTGGCATGTTTGCAGGATGAACTCCTCTGTAATAGGATCTTTGCAATTTATTACCTTGTCACGGAAGCGCTTGACAAAATTATTAATAGACTCTCCGTCTTTTTGCTTCTCATCCAAAAGGGTTCCGATTGACACTTCGGTGTCATCATCGAA